GAGAGGGTGGCGCTGGCAGCGTGAAAGGTGTCTTTGTGCAGGACTTGGTGGGGTGAAGGGGTGGTGAGAGAGGCCTGAGCCAGGACCTGAAGGCTGGGGCTCTGGGACGCCGTTACTTGCCACTCCTTAGTCGCGCTGGAAAGATCCGGGTAGTGCCGGCAGGGGGCGGTGTGGTGCAGAAGGGGGTGGGCGGGAGGCCCCAGGGTTTGGTCTTTTTTTGACACTGAAGGGCGAGAAAGCAGGATGGAATAGAGGGATTTGCCTCCCCGCCCCCTCCCCTAGGTGTCAGAGAGTTCGCGCTGATTGCAAGGGTGCAGCCTCTCACCCGGCGCTCACTCGGTGTCGGGGAGCGGGGAGAGCGGTCCCCAAGGCGGAGCCTCCCTCCGGGCCCCCGAGTACCAGTGCCCCCACCGAGAGCGGAGAGGCGGGCACCGCGCTGCCCTCCCTCTGCGCCCCGGCCGCGTGGCTTGCGGCTTATTTTCCCAGCTGGCAAGCGTCGCGCTGCAGACAAGGGAATGCCTGTGGTGAGTTGTTTATTTTGTTGAAGTTTGCGGTGGGCCCGGGGACGTGGGGGGCGAGCGGCAGGCAGCGGCCGGGACTGTTGTGTTTAGGTCTCCGTCCACCTGTGTGGTATAAATCTGCCAGCGTCGGGACGGCAGGGGGCCAGGGCGAGAAAACCCCAGCTGCTCCGAAAGGCCCCCCTTTGCCACTTGCAGATCTAGAACCACATTTCATTCTCCACTCCTGGGATCCGCTAGATCCTAGCTTACACTCCCCCTCTCCCCAAGTCCCGGATCAGGGCTTCCCGCACCCTCTGCGCACAGGACTGGCGCTCCTCGGGGCAGGCGGCAGCCGCGACCCGGCAGCCATGGAAGTTCCTCCCCTAGAGGACAAGGGAGCTGAGGTTGTGATCTGAGGAGCGCTCGTGGAATTAGCGGGAACTTGTTGGGGCGGCTTGTGGCGTGAAGTCCGTTCAGGGTCTGCCCAGGACTACAAAACAGGGATCCGGGTTGGCCAGAGTTTCCCAGACTTGAGGCTGCGGGGAGGTCTGCGGTTGGCTCCCGGGGGAACCCAGAGGCACCCCGGGGGCTGATGGCAGTCACGGCCGTGGCTGCGTTTGCCTGGAAGAAAAGCCTAAACACATTAGCGAGCTGGTAAAGCTTTTAAGGCCTTTTCGGGAGCGAGTGGCTGGCTAATGAGAGGTTAATTTTGTTTCGAAGGGAGGGCTGCGCTGGTTTCCTGAGATAAATGGACAGGAAGCGCATTACCTCCGCGCGCTGGCAAGCGGCTCCCAAATGCTTTTTGCACCTGCCGCTTTGAGCAGCGCGAACAGTGGCGGAGCCCGCGGGGATCGCCGGGGCCCGTGGGGTACGCCCGCGTGATGAGCTTCACGCACGCCCCGGGCCCTCTCCTTCCGGGGGCGCAGCGCTCATGCCGGGCTCTGGGGCCCTTCTCTCACACCCAGGTCCTGCGTGTTCCCGAGCTCGGCGGCTCCCTGATCCCGCCAAGCCCCCTCCAGGAGCGGAAGGGTTAAAAATGATGTAAGTACAACCCAGGAGCTGCTTGCCACTGGGCAGTCTGACTCCCGGGCTATTTCAGCCCTGCTTTTCGTACACTGTGGACTGGGGGCGGGGCGGGGGGGCTCACTCTAGAATGGGTTGCACAAATCGCAACCCCGGGTCTGAGTCCTGGTTCCGCTGCCCAGTTGATCTGTTAAGCAGACAGCGACCCTCGTGTTAGATTTCTGGAAATGGAGATATATTAACTGGGGAACAGAAAAAGAAACCGCATCTTGTTTAGAACCCATTAATGTTGCTGGCATGCGTTTTAATTCTAGCCACTTTCCACTTGCACATTCATGCCGTTGCTCTGCTGAGTCCCCTATTTGTACTGTTTTGGCTTCATCTTTCCTTCTTGAAAACAAAGAAGGGAGAGAGAGTACAAGTGGCAAGAATCGGGGAGGATTTATGAGTTGTACAAGCTGTCACTTCATGGTATTTTTCTTATTAAAATGTAAAACTTTCATAAGTCATCAATTTTATGTCTGTGTCCCAGCTGCCTCCCTAGATTTTTCTTTGTGGAGTCTTAATGTCCTGCTTAGCTTGCAGCATTGGAGCTGGAGGAGTGGATGCTCTATAGGCGACCATTCACCACGCTCTTGCTTTCCAAGAGGATTCGGGATCTTGCTAGCAGGCCGAATTTACCCAGCGAGTGTGTCAACTGACCTAAAGTTTTGAAAATAGGAACCAACTTGCGGTTTAATTGTGAAAATTAACATTTTCCTTTAGCCGGCTGAACACTTATGCAGCAATAAAAAAAAGTGAATTGTTAGGCTTATAAATCTTGAGCTTGTCAAATTTTACAACAGAGGAGCAATAAAGCACCTTAGAAGAAATGAAGTTTTTCCTCTAGAGCAGTTCCACTTCACACCAGGATTTGCAGTGACTGGAGGGCGCCCTCTATTGATAAGAAAATCAAGAGCACTCATGTACTTAAGGAACAGGATGGTGTCGGGGTGGGGGGAGGGAATAAGAGTAAGGGGGTAAGTCATAGAAATCACGGGTGAAAAGACACAAACTAAACTGAATTTGATCCTTATCTCTTGGTTGTGTGTTTTGAAGCATGTTCGATTAAGTGGGATGCTTCTTTATAGCGGTGGGATTAAATCTTGTGTTAAAGAAAAAGAAACATTTCACTCTTAATTTTTTTAGCAAAATACTTTGAAAAACAGTGTTCACATTTTATTACTTTTAAAAGACGTTTACCAATATTTCATTAATTTTATTTCATTAATAATATGTAGTAATTCCAAGAGAGTAAATTTTTGGCCTTAATAGTATTTACTCCATAGTATTATCTAAAAATTATAATAGCTACCCCCCCCCCAAAAAAAGTCATTTCTCCAGTCAACACTGAAAGAATTATTTAGCATATTGTGGATGTATGCAAGGCTTGGATTATATCATGGGCAATGAAAGGTGTGTTTACCACTTGTGTCATCATAGTATGTAATAGGTAATGAAAAGTTACAGTAAAAAGATAGGCATCCTCCATTAGGGATCTAGTGGTTTGTACAATTCGTAATGTGTCTAATAAGTAAGCTGGGGTGATGGGTTTGCCCTCAATTATCCTGGACCATTGATTTGCACATTGTTACGTGTGGAATATTTACATGTCCACGGTTGATAGGCAATCCCTAATTAGAGATTCTGAGTAATGTGTCGGGTAGAGTTGCCTACTGCGATTTGGATATACTGTAAGTGAATTTAAAATGGCAACCTTGAGCTATTTGGGGAAAGGCAAAGGCGAGGACAGTAGGAAGTGGCTCCCAGACTTTGAGGCCATTCTAGAGATTAGATACCACTTCACACCTACTGATAAGTTAGAGCCTATTATAACCTCTGTTCTGATAATTAGCTTTTCTCCTCATTTCTTGATACATCCAATTGCAAAAGTAGAAACTGAACTGTCATTGAATTAATCTATTAGATTATGAATGTGTGGAAAAGCCACTAAGCAACAAATGATGGCGTAATTACTCTACACTGCGTTAAAAGCTGCCTCTCCTCATTAATCTAATTACACTGTAACCGAACACGGTGAAGTTCTCCAGCTCTCAGACCCCTCCCAGCCGCTTTCAGGAAGGGAAATGTCAAAGGAGCCAAGAATACCGGAGCCACGCACAGCTGCCTGCGAATTTCGCTGGGAGCTGACGGGTACCTTCCCAGTCTACCCGATCCGTTCCGCACCGCGGGTCACTTTCTGATTTCCAAAGTGGCTGGATGCTAGCTTTACCCGCAATAGGTTCGAAACGCGGTTCTGCAGAGGTGCTTAGATGCGAAGGAATTTGCCACGTGGCGCTGGATAAAAGCGCCCGCTTCCTCCAAAGAGCTGGAGGTGGAGGCGCCGTGTGGGGTGATTAAAAAAAAAAAACTAGGAGGGAAGTTGAACCCAATAACATTAATTCAAGGAGCGGTCAAAGGCCGGTTCCTTTGTAACGGCGGCCAGAGAGAGCGGCTGACACCTCTTTCTATTTGATTCGAGGAAACAGGACATCGCGGCAGGGGTGGATGGGAGGGAAGAGAGAGCGAGCCAGAGGCTGGGCCGGGCGCGGTAGACAAGACCCGCAGCGGGCGGACGCGGAACTCACGTTACACTAAACCGCAGGAGGCAGGAGGCGGCGTGGAGGGGCCGGCGCTTTGGGCCCTGCTAGCGGCGGGCTGGGTCCAAGCGGCTTGAGCTCGCAGCCAATGGAGTGGGAGGG